TTTGGGAAAAATGTGGAATTGTGTGAGAAAAATATGGAATTATGGGGGAAAAAAATGGAATTTTTTTGGAAAAATATGTAATTTTTTTTAATTAATGGAATTCTTTTGAGGAAAACATGGACCTTTAAAAAAAATATGGAATTTTGGGGGGGGGGGTGAAACATGGAATTCTATAGAAAATTAATGGAGTGTTTTTGGGAAAATGTGGAATATTTGGGAAATTCATGGAATTCTGTGGGGAAAACGGAATTATGGGAAAAAAAACCCTGGAATTCTGTGAAAAAAAAACTGGATTTTTTTTTATTTTAAATGTGGAGTTTTGGGGGAAATTAAAGGAGTTCTTTTGGGAAAAGTATGGAATTCTATGGGAAATTTCGTGAAAATTTTTGGGAAAAAAATAATGGAAATTCTGGGGAGAATTAATGGAATTTTTTGGGGGGGAAAACATGGAATTCTGTGGGACAAAATGGAATTTTTCGGGAATTTTTGGGGTTGGGGGAGGAAATTCCAGAGAATCCCCAAAATTCCAGAGAATTCCCAAACTTCCAGAGAATTCCCAAAATTCAGGTTTCCACCACTCGGATCAGAGGCAGTGGCTTTGGGCCCTGGAGGCGTTTGCTGGAAAAAAAAAAAATAAATTGGGAATTTTTAGTGGAAAAAAATCCTGGAAAAGTGTTTTTGGAAAGGAAAAAAACAGAATGGAAATGAGGAAAAATGAGGGAGTTGAAATTAATTAAATTATTTAAATTAATTAAAGTAATTAAATTATTCTCAAAGGCGGAAGAGGAAAATTCTGGAATTTGGTTCTGAAATCCAGAAAAGAATTCCCAAAATCCAGGAGTTCACCCAAATCCCAAAGAAAATCCCAAAATTCATCCCCAAAATTCATTCCCAAATCCCAGCATTCCCAAATGCTGACATTCCTGACCCCAATTCCTGGAATTCCCAACTTTCCTGTCCCAAATCCCAAATCCTGACATTCCCACCCGGAAATCTGGGAATTCTTGGAATTCCCATCCATCCTTGAATTCCCGTTATTCCCATCCCAAATTCCTGGAATTCCCAACCCAAATCCCCAAATTCCTGCCCCCAAATCCCATTATTCCCGTTAAATTGCCGTTAAATTCCCGTTATTCCAATCCCGTTATATTCCCGTTATTCCCGTACCTGGCCCCGGTGTCGGATTTGGACCGGGCCCTGGCCCCGCCCCCGGGGCTCACCTGGGCCTCGATCAAGTGCTCGATGCGATCGTGCATCTCCAGGTTCTGGGAATGAAACAGGGATTGGGGAAATCCGGGAAAAATGGGGGGAAAAACGGGGAAAGTGGAGGAAAAAAATGGGAAAAATATGTGGGAAAAGGGAGGGGGAAATGTGGGAAGAGGAAGAAAAAAAAGGGAAAGAAAGGAGGGAAAATGTGAGAAAAAAAATGGGAACAGGGAGGGAAAAATGTGGGAAAAAGAGGGGAAAATGTGGGGAAAAGGAGGGAAAAAAAATGGGAAAAGGGAAGGAAAAATGAGAAAAAAATGTGGAAAAAATGTGGCAAGAGGGAGGGAAAATGGATGGAAAATTTGGGAAAAGGGAGAGGAAAAAAAGGGAAAAAGGGAGGGGAAAAATGTGGGAATAGGGAAGGAAAAATGAGGAAAAAATACGGGAAGAGAGAAGGGAAAATGTGGGAAAATGGAGAAAAAAAAATGAGGAAAAAATGTGGGAAAATGGACGGGAAAAAAGGCAAAAAGGAAGGAAAAAATGCCCAAAAAATTCCCAAAATTCCCAGAATTCCAGGCCCCACCTCGGCCTCCAGGTAGGAGACGCGCTCCTGCAGCTCCTGCAGCGCCGCCTCCTTTTTCTGGATCACGCTCTTGGAATTCTGCAGCTGCAGCACAAATCCCCACATTGGTACATTCCCAGGTTCCCCCCACTTTTCCCAGGATTTTCCCATTTTTTCCCAGATTTTTTCCGGGTTTTTTTTCCCCATTTTTCCCGGGTTTTTTTCCCCGGATTTTTCCCCATTTTCCCTGGATTTTATCTCCATTTTTGCCCCCCATTTTTCTCGTTTTTTCCCTTTTTTCCCGAATTTTTTCCCATTTTCCTCCGGATTTTTTCCCGTTTTTTTCCCCCCCATTTTTATTCCCGTTTTTCCCCACCTGCTCGATCATGTGCCGCACTTTCCTCTGCTGGCTCTTCAGCATGTCGTCCAGGTGATGAATTTTCTCCCTCAGCGTTGCCACCTCCTTCTCCAGCTGGGATGAGCTGGGGAAAAAAAAAAAAAAAAAAAAAAAAAATATCGGGAATGCCCCCAAAAAATCCTGGAATTTATGTCACAAAAAAAATTTTAAAAATGAAATTTAAATAAATTTTAAAAATAAATAAATAAAAAAAAAAGGAATGTACAGTTCAAAAAATCTGGAACTGTCCAAAAAAATTCTGGAATTTCTAGCCCCAAACTAGCCTGGGAATGGTCACATAAAAAAAAACAATTAAAAAATAAAATTGAAAAAATTAAAATATTTTTTTTTTTTTTTTAAAAAAAAAGGGAATGTTCAGTTCAAAAAAATCCTGGAATTTCTACCCCAAAACCAGCCCAGGAATGGTCACATCCAAAAAAATAAAAAAAATTCTCATTCCCAGACTTTCAACATTCCAGGGAATTCAGCATTCCTGAATTCCGGCATTCCCTGATTTCAGAATCCCCCACATTTCAGGATTCCTGGAATTTCAGCATTCCCAAATTCCAGAATTCCCATTCCCAGATTTCCAAGTTCCAGCATTCTCAGGATTCCCATTCCCGAATTCTGGCATTCCCAGATTTCAGAATCCCTGGTTTCAGGATTCCCAAATTTCAGCATTCCTAGGATTTTGGCATTCCCAGGATTCTCATTCCCAGATTTCTCCATTCCCGGGATTTTGGTATTAGGTTCCCATCATTCGTTTCCACCATTCATTCCCACCATTCCCAGCATTCCCATCATTCATTCCCACCATTCCCATCATACATTCCCATCATTACCATCATTCATTCCCACCATTCCCAGCATTCCCATCATTCATTCCCAGCATTCCCATTCATTCCCACCCTTCATTCCCATCATTAATTCCCACCATTCCTGCCCCCATCCCGCTGTCTCACCGTTCCCGCTGTGCCGCTCTCTCCCCCTCGGCCGCCCGGAGCCGCTCGAGCTCCGCCTGCCCCGACTCCAGCCGGGCCTGCAGCTCCCGCAGCTCCTGCAGGAATCCGGGAATTCGGGAATCCCGCGCCTTCAGGGACCCCAAATACCCCATCCCAAATGCCCTGATCCCCATCCCAAAACACCTGATCCCGACCCCAAATCCCCCCCCTCCCAAATCCCCCCTCATTCCAAACCTCTCAATCCCATGATCCCAAATCCCCTCGGATCCCAAACCCCCATCTCCTCCCGGACCCTCTGGGTCCCGTCCAGGCTCCTCTGCAGCTGCTCCTTCTCCTGCTCCGCCCGGCGCCGCCCGCGCTCCGAGCGCCCGGCCTCGTCCCGGCACCGCGCCAGCGCCCGCTGCAACAGGAAAAACCGGGAATGGGATACGGGAATCCCACGGGAATCCCAAAAAACACCCGGGAATGGGATACGGGAATCCAAATATAACCCTGGGAAAGGATCCCGGACTTCCGGAAGCATCCCGGAAAAAAACTGGGAATTCCATGGAGAACCCACCAAAAAATCTGGGAATGGGATCCTGAGAATTCCAGGCGAAACCCTCAAAGAAATCTGGGAATGGGATCCTGGAATTCCAGGGGAATCTCTCAATAAAATGCAGGAATGGGATCCTGGGATCATCCCTGGGCAGGCATCTCACAGAAAATCCAGGAATTGCAAATTCCCACCCCCCCCCCAAAAAATCCTGGATTGGGATGAAATTTTATCCTAAAAATTCCCAAATTTGGACAAAGTTCCCTCAAAATCCAAGACTTAATTCCCAAGATTCCCAAATTTGGTGAAATTCCCAAAAATTCTGCTTCAGGTCCCCAAATTCGGACAAAACTCTCCTTAAAAACTCCAAAATTTGGGCAAAACGCTCCCAAAAATCCCAAATTTTGGGGAAAAATCCCCTCTGGAATTCCGGGATTTGGGCGGGATTGGGGTGGAGTTCCGGGAATTTTTGGGAATTCCGGGCTCACCTCAAGGCTCTCCCGCTCCTGCTGGTGCCGCTTCTCGGCCTCCTGGAGCCTCCGCAGGAGCCACGGGGCCTCCTCCTGTGGGAGGGACAAAATTCACCCAAAATTCACCCAAAACCACCCGAAATTCACCCCAAACGACCCAAAATTCACCCAAAACTGCCCAAAATTGACCAAAATTCACCCAAAATATCCAAAAATGGCCCCAATGTCCCAAAATTGACAAAAATGGCCCCAAAAGGCCCCAAATATCCCAAAAATTGGAATTTCTCCCCCTTTTCTACCCCAAAAGTGGGAAATTTCCTGTTTTTCCACCCAAAATTTGGGAGTTTTCCAATTTTGTCTATCCCAAAAATGAGAATTTTTCCACCCAAAAAATTGGAATTTTTCCCCATTTTTTCCACCCCAAAAATCGGGAATTTTGGTAATTCCCAATTTATTTTTTTTTTACCTCCGAGCGCTCCTGAAATTCCCGAAATTCCTGAAATTCCTGGAATTCTTGGAATTCCTGGAATTCTGGCTGAGTCTGGAGTTTGGTGCTCAAATCTTCCCGGAGTTTTTTGAGGGCGCTCCCAGCCTGGAAAAAATAAGAAAAAAAAAAAGAAAAATTTGGGATTTTTTTTTTTTTTTAATTTAGGGAATTTTTCAAAAATGTAGGAGTTTTTGGGATGAAGGAGAAGGCAAAAAAAAGGGAATAAATAGAAATAAAAATGGGGAACAAGCAAATTAAATGAAATTAAAAATGGAAGAATTGGGATTTTCAAGGAATTTTGGGAATTTTTTAGAGCAGAATTTTAGGGAATTTAGGGGAATGTTTGGGGAATTTTGGGGGGAATTCCGTGGAATTTTTGGGAGGAGATTTGAGGGAATTTTGAGGGCAATTTTGCAGGAATTTGGGGAAAAAAATTGCAGGAGTTTTGAAGGGATTTTGGAGGAATTTTGAGGAATTTTTTTTTTTAATTTTTTGGAATTTTGGTCCAAAATTTGCAGAATTTTGCCAGAATTTTGTGGATATTTTTAGGAGTTTTGTAGGAAAACCCGGGAACTTTTCAGAATTCCGTGGAATTTTTTTGGGAATTCCATGGAAATTCTGGGAATTTCACCTCCTGGATGTGCCGCACTTCGCTCTTGAGCTGCGTCACCGGCTCCTCGTGCTCGGCGCGAGCCTTGAGATAAACCTGGAATAAAAAATTTAGAAATTAAAATAATTTTGGGGACCTCGGGGGTTTTTGGGGAATTTTCCACCCGTGAAATTTTGCTGGAATTTTAGGGGAATTTTGGAGAGAGGGGTTTTTTTTTTAATTTTTGGACAATTTGAGAGAATTTTGGGGGAATTTGTGGGGAATTTTAGGTGGAATATTGTGGGGTTTTTGGGGGGGAATTTTTTAGGGAATTTGGGGGAAATTTTGTGGGAATTTGGGGGAAATTCGAGGTCAATTTTGCTGGAATTTTTGTGGAATTTTTGTTGGAATTTTTGTGAATTTTTTGGGAGATTTTCTGGGAAATTTTGTGGAATATTGGGGATTTCTTGGTGCTATTTTAGTGCAATTTTTGGTGCAATTTTAAGGGGAATTATGTAGAATTTTGTGGGAATTTTTGGTGGAATTTTTGGGGGGATTCTTTGGGAATTTCTGTGGAATTTGCTATGGGATTTTTGTGGAATCTTTTGGAAATTTCTGTGGAATTTTTGGGGGAGTTTTTGTGGAATTTGGGGATTTTTTTGTGCAATTTTTTGGGAATTTTTTGGGGAATTTCTGTGGAATTTTTGGTGGAATTTTTTGGGAATTGTACCTTGGTGATCTCCTCATCCCCATCCTTGGATTTGACACATTCCAAGGCCAAAATTGGCGAATTTTAAGGAATTTTTTTGTGGAATTTTCGCAGAATTTTTGTGCAATGTTTTGGGAATTTTTGTGCAATTTTTTTTTTTGGACTTTTTGTGGAATCTTTTGGGAATTGTACCTTGATGATCTCCTCGTCCCCATCCTTGGATTTGACACATTCTGAGGTCAGGGAATTCCCATCGGATCTTTTGGCCACCATGGCAAAGGCTCTGCCTACAGGCTGGGGGAAAAAATGGAATTTTGGAAAAAAAAAATTCCAGGGAAAATCCAGAATTGGGATTTGCGGGAAAAATTCCCATTCCCCCCCCCAAAAAATTCCCATTTTTGTTCCAAAATTCCCATTTTTCCCCCCAAAATTCCCATTTTTCCCCAAAAAGTTATTTGTTTTTCCTCCCACAATTCCCATTCTTTCCCCAGAATTCCCATTTTTTTTTCCTCACCCTCTCCTTGGGCCGGGGCTCCCCAGGGGGGTCTCGGGGCCGGCACAGCCTCAGAACCGGAGCCAATTCCTGGGAAAAAAAAAAACAGGGAAAAAATGGGATAAAAACAGGGAAAAAATGGGATAAAAACTAGGAAAAAATGGGATAAAAACTGGGAAAAAAACAGGGAAACAATGGGATAAAAACAGGGAAAAATTGGGATTAAAAACTGGGAAAAAATGGGATAAAAACAGGGAAAAACTGGGATAAAAACTGGGAAAAACTGGGGTAAAAACAGGGAAAAACTGGGATAAAAACTGGGAAAAACTGGGGTAAAAACNTAAAAACAGGGAAAAACTGGGATAAAAACTGGGAAAAACTGGGGTAAAAACAGGGAAAAACTGGGATAAAAACTGGGAAAAACTGGGGTAAAAACAGGGGGAAATCTGGAAAAAAATCTAAAAAAAATCCAGGAATAATCCAAGATAAATCCAGGAAAAATTTGGGATAAATCCTGGAAAAAATCTAGAAAAAAAAAAAATCCAGGAAAAATCTGGAGAAAATTTGGAAAAAAATCCAGGAAATATCCCATAAAAATTTGGGATAAATCCTGGAAAAATCCTGGAAAAATCCCCCCCAAAATATGGGATAATTCCAGGATAAATTTAGGAAAAATATTGGAAAAATCCACTAAAAATCCCATAAGAATTTGGAATAAATCTAGGAAAAATCCAAGAAAAATCTCATAGAAAGCTGGGATAAATCCAAGGAAAAATGGGAAAAAGTCCAGGAAAAATTTGGGATAAATCCAGAAAAAAAAAACAGGAAAAAATTGGGATAAATCCAGAAAAAAATGAGAAAAAAAACCAGGAAAAATCCAGCAATGTCAGATCCAGAATTTTTTTTTTAATTTTCCAAAAATTCCAAGACTCACCTCGGGATTCCAGGTGGGTTTGGGGCTCCCTCTGGAATTTTCCAGGGATCCAGGAGAGTTTTCCAGGCTGGGAAATTCTGGGAATTCTAGGAATTCCAGGGGGCTCCTCATGCTCAGCTCCTGCTGGGAAAATTCCCGAAAATTCCCAAAATTCGCAAATTTTCATTCTCAAATTTGTGCGAATGGCAAAAAATCCCAACCCCCAAATTTTTCCTCAAAATTCCCAAATTTTCCCTCAAAATTCCCTCAGGACCCCTCCCCAAAATTCCCAAAATTTGAGTTTTCCCGTTTTTTTTTCCCAAGTTGATTTTTTCCAAAGTTTTTGCCATCATTCCAAAGGAAATTTTTTTTTTTTTTGGAAAATCCTGGAATGGGGAATCCCAAAAATCCAACCCTGCCCCAAATCCTGGAAAATTTGGGAATTTTGGGGGCCTCAAATCCCAAAAATCCCTTTTTTTTTTTTTTTTTTAAATAGATTGTGGAAATTCTGGGATTTTCTCCAGAGGGATATTTCTCATTTTTGTGATCGCTGGGAATTCCCAAAATTTCCCAAAAAAATTGGAAAAGTTTGTATTTTGGGGAAAATGTTGGAATTCTGGGGAGGGATTTAGGAATTCCAACGGGATTTGGGATCCCCAAAAGTCACCCCAGGAAGTGGAAAAAATTCCAGGAATTTCGGGAAATTGGGATAGGAGAGAAAAGTGGGCATTTTGGGGAGGGGTCCTGGGGGGATTTGGGGAAAAATTTGGGAATTTTGGGGAAAATTTGGGAATTTTTGGGAGTATCCGGGAATTCCAAAGGGATTTGGGATCCCTCAAAGTGGTTCCAGGAAGGGAAAAAATTCCGGGAATTTCGGGAATTTGGGACAGGAGGAACTCGAGGGAATTTTGGGGAGGGGTCCTGGGGGAAAATTTGGGAATTTTGGGAAGGATTTGGGAATTCCGAAGGTATTTAGGATCCCCAAACTCCTCCCAGTAGGGCGGGAAAATCCCGAGAGTTCCGGGAATTCGGGAAAAGAGAAACCCGGGAATTTTGGGAAGGGGATCCAAGAACTTCAGGAAAAGAATCCCGAAGTTTTTAGGGAAGAAATCCCAGAATTTTTTAGGGGGGGGGGGGAAATCCGGGAATTTCCGACAATTCCAAAGAAAAAAAAAAAAAAAAAACCAAAACAAAAAACTTCAGGGAGTTCCCGGAAGAAACAAAGCAGAGGCCCGGGAATTCCTGAGGGGAAAATCGCGGAATTCTGAGAGGAAAATCCCGGAATTTTTTGGCGGGACCTGCCGGAAGTTTTTGGGAGGAAGATGCGGGAATTTTTGGGGGAAAAATCCAAGAATTTTTTTGGGAATTCGGGGGGGGATCTTACCGCGATTTCCGGGAGCGCGGCCCAGCCCTGGAGCCCGTTCATGGCCCCGCCGCCGCTTCCGCCTCACCTGAGGCAGGTGGCCACGCCCACCTCGGTCACGCCCCTCACGGCGAGTCTCGGCGCTGATTGGCCACACCCTCAAAACGGCGCGGGTGAGTCTCGCCGCTGATTGGCCACGCCCAGTTTGGACACGCCTATCACTGTGATTGACAGCTGTCAGACCACGCCCCCAGCATGTCCATGTTTGGTTATGGCGAAGATGGGATGAGGTGAGGCCACGCCTCCAAAGGGAAAATTGGGATAAAAACGGCGAAAACCTGGGATAAATGTGCGAGGGAAATGGGGATAAAAATGGGGGAAAATTGGGATAAAATTGGGATGAAATCGGGAGGGACGGGGGAATTGGGATCAAATTGGGATTAAAGTGGGGGAAAACTGAAATAAAATTGGGGTAAAATTTGGATTAAATTGGGATAAAAACTGAGAATTTGAGAGAACTTTCGGGAATTTGCTGGGATTTCTGGGAATATGAGGGAATTTTGGAGGATTTTCCTGGGAGTGGATATTCCCTGTCCCCGCAATGTCCCCAAAGCTCGGGGGAAACTGAGGCACGGGGTGGGGAGGGGTGGGGGCACCTCCAAGGGTGGCACCGGGAGGGGTGGGGACACCTGGGGTGGCACCTGCGGGGACTGGCACCGCCCTTCCTGGGTGGCGACCACATGGTGACATCAAGGGTGGCACCTTTGGGCCACCGGGCACTGGGTGGGGACACCTGGCGACACCTGGGTGGCACCTGCGGGGGCTGGCACCGCCCTTCCTGGGGGTGGCACCTGAGAAATGCTAAGAATTCCCACTCAGAATTCCCAAAAATTCCCCCCACAGATTCCTGAGATTTCCCAAGAATTCCCTCCCAAGAATTCCCGAGAATTCCCCAAAATTCCCAATAATTTCCCACCCGGAATTCCCAAAAATTCCAGACCCTGCTGCCCTCAAACCGCTGGATTTTATTCCAAACACCTTGGTGAAGAGCCCAAGGGAAGGGATTTGAAATCAAAATTCCTGGAATTCCTCTGAAGTGTCTCCTGGAATTTCCTGGAATTCCCAGAGGGAGGTCCCAGCCATTTGTCCTTTGTGTCCTGGATTTGGGAATTTTTTCCCATGGAGCATCCTGGGGCTGATCCTGGCTGGAATTCCGGGGTTGATCCTGGCTGGAATTCCGGGGCTGACCCTGGCTGGAATTCCGGGGCTGACCCTGGCTGGAATGCCAGGACTGATCCCAGGGTTTGGCTGATCCTGGGGCTGATCCACACTGGAATTCTGGGACTGATCCCAGCCCAAATTCCCAGGAATCGGCAGGAAGGGGTTGATCCCAGGGCTGATCCCAGCTGGAATTCCAGGACTGATCCCAGAATCAATCCTGGAACCGATCCCGAAGATGATCCCAGGCCAGGACTTAATCGTGACTCTGGAATTCCTGGGAATTCTGGAATTTCTGGGAATCCACAGTGGGGGCTGATCCTGGGGTGACCCCAGCGCCAATCCCAGGTCAAGACTAATCCTAGAACCAATCCCAGAGTCAATCCTGGAACTGATCCTGGTTCTGGCATTCCCAGAATTCCTGGGATTCCGGCATTCCCAAAGTTCCTCAGCAGGTGGAAGCTGATCCTGGAACCGATCCCAGAGCGATGCTGGAGCCACTTCCAGCCCGGCATTCCCGGCATTCCCGGCGTTGCCCTCAGCAGGAGCTGGCCTGCAGCCTGGCCTGGCTCAGCAGGGAGGCGATGGCGGCCGAGCCGAGCTCCTCGTCCGAGCTCGGCGCCGACTCCACGGCGCGGCGCCTGCGGGACAACGCCAGCGTTTCCCATGGAATGCCGGGATTTTCCAGGGAATTCCTGCCCTTCCCCATGGGATTATGGCATTTTCCGTGGAATTCCCATCCTTCTCCCACAGAATTCCCAGCCTTTTTCCATGGAATTCCCAGCCTTTTCCCACAGACTTCCCAGCTCTTTTCCATGGACTTCCGGGATTTTCCATCTGGAATTCCTTTCCCATGGAACTTTTGGGACCTTTTCCATGCTTTTAGGGAATTTTCTCATGGAATTTCGGGAATTTTCCCACGGAATTTTGGGGAATTTTCTCTCTGGAATTCCCTTCCCAGGTCTCCTTTTCCCATGGAATTCTTAGGACCCTTTCCATGGTTTTAGAGACGTTTCCCCTTGGATTTTGGGGCCCTTTTCCCACAGAATTTTGGGGAATTTTCGCTCTGGAATTCCCTTACCAGGCCTCCTTCTCCTTGTTTTTCAGGCGTCTCTGCAGTTGCTCGTTCAGCTCCTGCTGCTCCTCCAATTCCCTCTGGAATTTTTTCCGGGCGTTTTCCAGGCGCTCGATTTCCTCCTCGGCCTCGTCCAGCTGCCGCTTCAGCGCCTTCACCCGCAGGCTCAGCTGCAATCCCCACCCTTCAGTCCCCACATTTACCCCAAACTTTCCCCACATTTTTCCCTGAACAACTCCCATTCCCAATCCCACTTTTTTTCCCAGATTTTCCCCGGATTTTTCCATAATTTTCCCAGATTTTCCCCCAGATTTTTCCCTGAATAACTCCCATTCCCAGTCCCAGATTCCCTCAGATTTTTCCCAGATTTTCCCCGAATTTTCCCCAAACATCTCCCAGATTTTACCCTGAACAACTCCCATTCCCAATGCCAAATTTTTCCCAGATTTTCCCTGTATTTTTCCAGATTTCCCCCCATATTTCCCCCACGTTTTCCCTCAAATTTTCTTTTCTCAGACTTCCCCAAAATTTTTCCTGAATTCCCCCCATATTTCCCCAAATTTTTCCCATATTTTTCCTGAATTCCCCCCACATTTTTCCCGATTTTTCCATGTTTTTTCTGGGATTCCTCCCTCCCCACCTGCTCCCTGTGGCCGTTGCTGCTCTGCCTCTCCTCCTCCAGCTGCAGCTGCAGCTCCTGCAGGCGCCGCTCCAGCTTCCGGCTGCACGACTGCAGGGAGCTCTTCTCCCTGAAAATTAATTAATTACACTTAATTAAGCCCCAGTTAATTCATTGATCCATTTATGGGGGGGGTAAGGGGGTTTTTATGGATTTTTTAAGGGTTTTTAAAGGTTGGACGAGAGCAGCGTGCTTTTCTCTCTGAGTAAAATCAATTAATTACACTTAACTACAGTTAATTAAATTAAAATTAATTTATTGATAGGTTTATGGGGGGGTTAAAGGGGTCTTAAATGTTTTTTTAAGGGCTCTTTAAGAATTTTTTTGGATTTTTTAAAGGGCCTTTAAAGGCACAATGGCAGCACAGCGTGCTTGTCCCTGCAAAATTAATTTTCAGTCAATGAAATTAAATTAAATTGAATTTAATAAGATTTGGGGATTTGGGATGGAGAAAGTTGCAGATTTGGGTTTTGGCATTGCAGAAATTTGGGAATTTGGGATTTTTGATTGGAAAAAATTGGGATTGGGAAATTTGGAATTGGAAAAATTTGGGACTTGGCAATTTGGGACTAAGAAATTTGGGAATTTGAGATTGGAGAAATTTGGGATTTAGGGATTTGGGGATTTGGATTGGAGAAATATGGGAATTGGGAATTTGGGGTTTTGGAGATCTGGGATTGGAGAGATTTGCGATTTGGGAATTTGGGATTTTGGTATTATAGGATTATGGGAATTTGGGAATTTGGAGATTTGGGAATTTTTGGGATTTGGGATCTGCTCCTGTACCTCTCCTCAGCCCGGAGCTGCTCCTGGAGCTCCTCCAGCTGTGCCTCCAGCTGGGAACTGCGGCCGCTGCCGGAATTCCTCTGGAGCTGCTCCAGCTGCGAGCGCAGATCCTTCAGCTGAAACACAAACACCAAACCCAGAGTTTTACTGGGATTTTCCAGGGAATTTTACAGAATTTCTCCAGGATTTTCCCAGGATTTTTCTCGAGCTTTTCCCAGGCTTTTCCTGAGCGTTTTGCAGGATTTTTCCCAAGCTTTTCCCAGTCTTTCCCCAGGATTTCCTCCAGGATTATCCCCAGGATTTTCTTGAGCTTTTCTGAGGCTTTTCCCCAGGATTTTCCTGGAATTTCCCAGGATTTTTCTGGAATTTCCCCAGGCTTTTCCCAGGATTTCCCCAGACTTTTCCTGGATTTTCCTGCATTTCCCTCACCTGTCTCTCCAGGGAGGATTTGTCACATTCCAGGTCCTGGCGGGTCGAGCGCTCCTGGAGCAGCTCGGCCCTCAGCTGCTCAATCTGCCAAGAAAAAAAAAAAAAAAAATCTGGTAATTCCATGGATTTCCATCAATTTGTCATTTTTTTTCCATGGCTTTTCTAGAATTTTCCATGGATTTCCATGGATTTTCCATGGATCTCCATCAATTTGCCAAAAATCCTCTAAAAATCCTCAAAAAAAACTCCCCCCCAATTCACCGAAAATCCTCAAAAAATCCCTGAAAACTTGCCAAAAACTCCCCTAAAATTCCCAGAATTCCCGGGTTTCCCAGCTCTGACCTGCTCCCTGCCCCGGGCCACTCTGTCCCCCAGCAGCTCCAGGGAGTTCCGCTCCTCGTCCAGCTCCAGCTCCAGGCGCTTCGACTTCTCCTGGGAATTCCAGAACATTCCAAGACATTCCAGGAAAATCCCAGGATTCCCAAATGAAAGGGATGGGGGGTGGGGAAGGGGAAAATTGAGGGAGGTTTTGGGGGGGGGGGTTTTGGCATTTTTTAGGGGTTTTTTTGGGAATTTTGGAGATTTTTGTGGGATTTTGGGGGGAAATTTGGAGGAATTTTTGGGGAATTTTTGAGTGATTTTTTGGGGGGGGAATTTCTGGGAAATTTTGGGGGGAATTTTTGGGATTTTTTTGGGAGTTGTGGAGGAATTTTTTGGGATTTTTGAGGAATTTGGGGGAATTTCTGAGGAATTTTTTTATTTGGGGGGGATTTTTCTGGAATTTTTGGGATTTTTTGGGGGAATTTCCTTGGAATTTTTTGGGGGGGGGGATTTTTTAGGATTTTTTGGGGGATTTTGGGGGGAATTTTTGGGAATTTTTTGGCATTTTTGAGGAATTTTTGGGTGCATTTTTTAGCAATACTTTGGGAATTTTTTTTAAATTTTCTGGGAATTTTTTTGAGGTGTGGGAATTCATTAGGAATGGGAATTTTGGGGGGAATTTTCTAGGAATTTTATCACATTTTTTCGCTGAAATTTTTTTTTTAATTCCTACCGAGCATTTTAAAATTTTTTTCCCAGTTCTTCCAGGGACATTTTAATGATTTTAATATGAATTTCCTGATGAATATTCCCATTCTTTCGGTTTTTTTTTTTTTAGGAATTCTCACCTCCAGGGCCTTGGAATGTCGAGCTCTCTCCTCCTGGGCTCGTTTTTGATTTTCCAGCTCCTGCTGCAGCTCCTGGAATTTCTGCAGCTGCAGCTCCTTGTCCAGCAGGATCCCATCCCTCTCCTCCTGAATTCCCTGCATTGTCTCCTTCAGCCTGGAAACCTGCCAGGAAAAATACCCAGAATTCCACAAAAATTTTAAAAATATATATATTTAAAATTAAAAAAAAAAAAAAAAAAAATTGCAAATAAAATTTGCCAAAATATGAAAAATTTCAAAATAATTCCCATCAAAAAGTTCACAAAAAAGTTCTGAGAAATACAAATAAGCAAAAATATTTCCAAAAAAATTCCCAAAAACTCAGCAAAATTTCCCCCAAATTCCCCAAAAAATTCCCAATTTTTTTTTTCTTTAGGTTGAAATTTCAGGATCAAAAATTCCCAAAAAAAATCCCCAAAAAATCCCCCAAAATTCCCAATTTTTCATCTTACACTTGGTTAAAAATCCCCCCAAAAATTCTTATTTTTTATTATTTTTGATTGAAATTTTGAGATTAAAAATCAACCAACCTCATCCTGCAGCTTCCCGATTTTTTCTTGGAATTTTTTCTCCTCTGCCTCTCGTTCTTGGGTGATTTTTTGGGAATTTTCCAGTTCCCTCCGGGATTTTTCCTGGAATTTTTCCAGCTGGGATTGGAGTGAGGCCACAGAATTTTGGGATTCCGTCGTCATCTGCTCCAGCTGGGAAAAAAAAAAAAAGGAATTTTGGGATCAGGAATTCCAAAATTTCATGGAAAATCCTCAAATTCCACGAAAAAACCCTGAAATTCCATTAAAAAAACCCAGAATTCCATAAAGAAAACCCAAATTCCATGAAAAAATCCTGAAATTCCATGAAAAAAAAAATCAAATTTCTGTGTAAAAAAAGAGAATTTTTTGGAAAAGCTAGGAATTTCAGGGGGAAAAAAAAGCAGAATTCCTTCCATGAAAAAACTGGAATTCCATTTAAAAAAAAAATCCATTAAAATAATCCCCAAAAATCCAGGGGAAAAAAAACCCTGAAATTCCAGGAAAAAAAAAAAAAAAAAAAAAAAAAAAAAAAAAAATCCAGGAAAAACCCCCCAGAATTCCACAATAAATGCCCCCTAAATTAAGTGAAAAAAATCAAAATTCCACAAAAAAAAACATTTATTCCATGAAAACCCCACAGAATTCCACAAAAACCCACAAAATTCCTTTTAAAAAGCCCTAAAATTCCACAAAAAAATTCCATAAAAATCTCCTGAAATTGCACATAAAAAAAAAAACAAAATTCAGTGAAAATTATCGAAAAAAAATCCCCAAAATTCCACACAAACCCCCCAAAATTCCACAAAAGACCCTTCAAAATTCCACAAAAACCGCCCAAAATTCCAACAAAATAACCTGAAAATTCTACATAAAAAAATTCTAAAATTCCACCAAAAGCCCTAAAATTCCACAAAAAAAACCCCTAAAATGCCTCAAAAAAAAACCCTAAAATTCCTCAAAAAAAAAAGCTACAAAAAAACTCTAAAATTCCATTTAAAAATCCCTTAAAATTCCATAAAAAACCTCAGAACTCCACCAAAAAAAAATCCCCAAAATTCTACAAAAGAAGCCCTAAAATTCCACCAAAAAAACCCCAACACTCCCTCAACCCCCCAGAACTCCACAAAACCCCCAAAATGCCACAAAAAACCCCAGAATTCCATTAAAACAAAAACCCTCAGAATTACAGTAAAAATTCCAGGGTTGTTTTTTTTTTTATGTTTTTTTTTCCCGCCCTCACCTCGTGGCCGAGCCGTTCCCGCTGCTCGCGCTCCTCCCTCAGGCGCCGCTCCAAAGTATCGCGAGATTTCCGCAGCTCCTGCTCGGAACCGGCCAGGGCCGCCCGCTCCGACTGAGGGAGAATTTTAGGAGAAATTCGGGGAATTTGAGGTTTGGGGGGGGGTTGGGGATTTTTTGGGGAGGATTTTTGAGGGATTCCCGGCACTGCTGCAGCTCCTGCTCAGAACCGGCCAGGGCTGCCCGCTCGGCTGAGGTTTGGGGCAAATTCCGGGGATTTTGGGGTTTTGGGGGGGTTTGGGGATTTTTTGATATTTTTCGGATTTTCCCCAGTACCTCCAGCTCAGCCACTCTGTCCTGGAGCTGTTCCCATTTCTCCCTCAGGGCCTGGGATTCCTCCAGGGAAGATTCCAGAACTTTCCGCGCCTGCTGTGACTCCTCGAGGGACGACTGCAGGGAAATCCGGGCCTGGAAAACACAGGGAAGGGGGGGATTTGGGGGAATTTTTGGGAGATTTTTTTGGCATTATTTTTGGGGAATTTTTGGGTGATTTTCTGAGAATTTTTTTGAATTTTTGGTTGATTTTTGTGGAAATTTTGGGGAATTTTTTTCTATTTTGTTGTGGATTTTTTTTTTTTTAATTTTGGGGAATGTTTGGGTTGATTTTTATGGAATTTTTGGGGAATTTGCCCCTTACCTGCAAGGCCTCGTCATGCTCCCTCCGGAGATTTTCCAAATCCTGGAGGGAAAAAAAAAAAAAAAAAAAAAATCATATTTTGGGGAATTTTTTGGTTGATTTTTTTGGGGAATTTTTTGGGATTTCTTTTGGAGAGTTTTTGAGATTTTTTTTTTAGGGAATTTTGAGGAATTTTTTAGGAATTTTGGGGAATTTTTTTTTTATTTTTGGGTGATTTGGGGGGGAATTTTTAGGGAATTTTGGGGTGATTTTTTGAGATTTTTTGGGGGAATTGTTTGGGAATTTTTTGGTCGATT